GGACACTGGGTTACCGAGCTGGACAGGCGGATTGAGGGTATGTTTCTTCAGAGACTGACCCATATCATCCAGGTGTGGTGTGCCGAGTTCGATAGGGTTGAGATACTCGACGAGATCTTCTACTTGTTAGGGATGTTGCGAGTACATACTGTAAGAGGAGGGGGAATAAGCGGATGAAGGAGGAAAAGGTACGTTTCTCGTTCTCCTTTTGTTGCGAGTAAGGGCCGATGATCGCTGGGGGTAGTTCATGGAAAGACATATGACGCTGAAGCATATCGTTCACGAGATCAGGATATGAACCGGGTCATCTTTTTGGACCTGCCTATGGAGTATGCGAGGTCTTCGTGTACTCTTCCTTGCTTGGGTTTGAAGTTAAAGCTGAGCATGCTGGACAAGCATTATCTGCAGATTGAGGAGAATCCAGAGTTCTTGGTACGAGATTGGGCTACAGAGACATACACGTCATTGGTACGTCAAGGTTGTTCTGCATGCATAGACTTGTTCTGACGTCCCTTTTAGTTGACCCATTTCACTGACAACACTCTCGAACGCCCCTTCGCCCTAATCGAACATCTCATTGTACACAACCTGGGCGATGACCTCTACGGAAAGTGATTCTGCTTCTAATCATTCTCTTTTGTTCAATTGTCCATCTTTTCAGGTCGACGCAGTGCTTGAGAGCGTAAAAGTTGGGGCCGACGATGTAGCTGTATCGGAAATGCTCGTGCTTGAGAGCGTAGAAGTTGGGATCGACGATGTAGCTGTATCGGAAATGCTCGCGCTTTGCCTACGAACTCGAAGTCAGTGATAAAGAAGAACCTCGAAACCAATGAACAGCCTACGTCCAAGTGATGGTGGAGGTCCTGTCAACCAAGTAAGGAGGTTGGTTGATGATTGCGTGATAGATTTTCTGTGCAGTAAAGACGGTTTGACGCGGTTCGATCTATTGACGGCAGTTCCTCGGTGATTAGGTCTCTTCCATACCCAGGACTCGGAGGACCTACCGCAGCAGTGGCTAGAAAGTGGGCGAAAGCGATAAGGATTGATTTGAGATGCATGTTTCTGGTTGCTGGTAGCGTCTGCCCGTGTGACTTGTTATATACATAACTTACGGAGAAACATATAGGTTGCGTGATCCTCGGCCATCTTATTCCAGAGGCCATTTTGCCTTGTCAAGCGCAGAAAGATGCCGCCGCCATCAATCACAGGGGCTGCTGGGAGCTGCCCCTTCAAAAAACTTGATGTCGCCTAGGTAAAATGGTAGTTTAAATTTGTGTTTTACCTCCTTGTTCAGCCGAGCCTGAATAACTTCCACACGTTAGCGCACTTCTCAGATGGCGTCCTAGCACGCACCATGTTTTTTTGGCTCACACTGGAAAAGCCAAACTACCGTTATTTGGTTAACAACAATCAACTGTCTTTTGAAAGACTTCGGATAACGCCTACGAAGGAGGTGGAGGGTTGTCCGTGATGACGCCTGAGGCCACTGGATTTTGAGGCAATAGCTATCCCGATCCCCTCAAGTGCCCCGACAACGAGCAAAAAGGCTCATTCACTTCAGGCGCGACTGTCGGATCTCGAACTGCCCTAAGCGACGTTGTCTCCTTCTTGGGCCATTCTTCCGAGTCACCGCAAAGCTCAAAGAAAATAAGAAATCATCTCAAGGGATATACGATGCCATCGACGTCTCGAGTCTGCACCCGGCTGCATCAGGAAAACTACATGTCCACTTATGTCACTTAGGTCACTTTGACAAGTGGCCAAGTGACGAAAGTGAACTCAAGTGGCCAAAGGAAACTCACTTGGCTAAGTAGGTTGCTGCCTTGGCCAAGTGATTCCTCTTGATGCAAGTGAAGACTCAAGTGGGTAAGTCATATGTCAAGTTGATCTCAAAAGTGACCAAGTGACGAAATAGCAGTCTCGAACTGTTCCCGATTTCACACAGAATGGTATATTTAGTAGGGTAAAAGAGTATATTAAATGGTACCAATGTCTACCTACAATGTAGCAGCTCAAGGAACCTCTGAAATGCGTAGAAAGCCAAACATCCCACAACCCAACATCCCACCCTTCAGGCTCGCTCATGGAGAAACCAAAACGACCCGTTTCGCTCGTTCACAGTGCCAATGCCTATCCCCTCGATGCACGAATTGTCTTCGCGACAATTTGTTGATAGAATCGATGTGCTGGCGCCCCAGTTGTCCTCCGAGAATTTTGCTTCTTCCTTACGATCCAGAATGCCAGCAGTAGAGACCCCCGTGATCCAGAACTTGAACGCACGCTCAGCCTGCATGAAAATAAGATCACGCAGAAGGGAATGGAAGAGGAGACATACCCAAATGTTGAATATATAGGCACGGCGAAAACGGCGATGGGATTGCTGCCACCTCCATCTAGTGTGAATGAGCTCGGAATTTGGGCACGGTGAAGATGGTAGTGGGAGTCTCCATATGAGCATGGCAGAAGATGGTGT